CAAGGGCGCCCCCGACCCCCAACGTCACACCCGCCGCCTCCGCAAGCGGAACTTTTTTGCGCGTGCCGTATCAGAGACCGGCCGCATGGCGGTTGGGGCAAATAAACCGCCGCGAATCCTCAAAGCATGGTGCACCCCGGCGTGCCGTAGGTGTGCAGCATGGCGTGCCCCGCCGCACGGCCCATCAGGCGCACCATCTTCTTGTAGCGCACAAACCCCGTCGTCGGCAGCAGTCTCCCGCCACCCTCCTGTGACCCAACAAAGCGTCTCACCAAAAGCTTTCTTGCGACGCCCGCGGAGCCAATGATGAAAATCCTCAGCGGCCCAGAAAAAATAGTGCGGGTGGCGAAGAAGGAGGGGAGCTCGCGACATCGCACCATCTCCTTCCGACAAACAAAGTCCAGAAGCTGCGTAAATCCGTACTGCGCATGCAGCGAAATGGCGCGCTCCGAGGCGCCCGTCGAAGACGTGTTGCCAAAGCCGGCCCCAAACGTCTGCAGAGATTCCTCCTGCCGCTGAAAAAAGCACCTGCAAAACAAGCCCGTGGAACTCTGTCACCCCATTGGGATCCTCAGCTGCATATCCTCCTGTTAGCGCTCAGCCATATCATACTGGCACCAAATCGCGTTGCCTCTTAACATGAGGTAAAGGTCGGTGGGCACACGCGAGGCCCCAGCAGGACATGCGTGCTCAAGTGCAAGAGCGCCCTGACAAGAAGCGGCCACTGACACATTTTTATAGTTCGCCGCGGCGCCTCCCCACTCTCATCGCGACGCGGCACAACAAGCTGGATTTCGTAGTAGCACGCAGAGCAAATACGATGCGTCGTAACTGCTGCTGCTTCCGGCGGTGCGGGGCAGTTGCGGTCGAGACTGGCAAAGGCGGAAAGAGCCCGAACTGCTGGGGTCCCCTCCCGCAGGTGTGTCACCGGCGAGATTCAGCACAGCTGGGTGTTCCGCAATCACCACAGTGACCCGCGCGCGTATCGTACCCCCTCTTGGACGAAGGGTGTGGAGTTCACTGCGACCCATGATGGTGCGTTCCCTAGCGCCCGCAGCGCCCATCAGGGCCGCGCAATCTCTGCTTATCCGGAGGCGCGCAGAGGCCGGTGCCGGAATGCCCTCCGTGGCCTTTCCAGCTCAGTCGGTAAATCCGCACGGCTCTTAACCGTGTGCTCGGGGGCTCGGTTCCCGCGGGGATGCTTTCTCCCTCGCCTTCCGCCGCCGCTTCTCTGCCGCCGTCGTGCATTTCTGTCGCCCCGAATGCTGGGCGGCAAAACAGGGCCGCGCGAGAAGGGCGCTGAAGCACCAGCCGGGCGTCCCGCATCGGCGGCTGTGGGCCCCCCGCGCTGATACTCCGCGCCCCCCTCTCTCTCCGGCAAACGGCCACTAAGAAGAACAACGGCGAATGTGCCGCCCAGGAAAAAATCAGTCCCCCCTTCTCCCGAAGAACTAACAAATAATAATAATAATAAACGGAAGCTCGCAGCTTTTAGCTCTGCGCGCACCCAACGCCCCCCACGCA